TTCTGTCATATCAATGTATTCTGTTAGAATAAAACATGTGCAAACCTTTATATCAGGCTGTTTGTCAAAATAGCAAAAAAGTAGAAATATCTAATTGTCCAATGATAAGGGACTAGCTGAATAAAATACAATGTTACCTTTCAAATGATCACACAGACCTATATTTACTTACCTAGAAAGTTAGCCATGAAAATAGCAGATTACACATAAAGAAAAACGTGATTTCTTTTTGTGATGAATATACATACACATATGCTCACAGAGAGAAAGTCTAAACAGATAGATACCCAGATGTTAACCATGATAGTTCTAAGTGCTGGGCTTACAGGTGTCTTTTTTTTTTCTGCTTATTTTTCAGTATTCTCTGAAATTTTGGCAAAATGACATTTGCAAGAATTAACATCTATGATTCCAACTAACAAACTCCAAAATATTCCTTGCAAAAGGCCCAAGGAATATCCAAAAATACCCTGGCATAGAGCAAGAGGGAAAGTATTAGCAACAACATAACTGGAATTCTTTGTGAGCGAGGCACCCTAGAGGGCTCCAGGACAGACATGGCACCTTTACAGCAGCCTATACAGTACAGGGTTTGAAATCATTAAGACCTAGGTTCAAGTTCCTGCCACTTTTACTTGTATGACCTTGGGCTAGTCACTTACTCTTTCTGGGCTCACTTCATCAATAAAAGAGATATGACCTGCCTTCCTACCTCAAAGAACTGTTGGAAAGATCAGATGAGATAATGTGATACATTATAAACTGCAACATTATAAAGTACAAAGTACTATACAAAAATATTCATTCAAATATGAAAAAAAGAAAAAGGTGCTTAATGCCAGAGCAAAATACTTCAGAAAGCACTAAAATTCTATAAAGTAATGAACCAACCAGGGGCTTTGTTTTTAAAGGCTACATCTTATCATAAACACCCAATTTTTCAGAAACTCAGATACTTCTTCCCAGTTCCCACTACAACCATGAGCCATTTTATTTTCTTATCCCTAGTTACCACCAGGAAAGGGTACAAATCACACTGAACTCAAAAAGCCTCAGCAAGCACCCTGGAGCAGCACGTTGATGTAGTTTACCAGGAGAAACCCAAGGTCAATCAGCTATGGACTCACCACTAAGCATTATTGCAATCCACAGTGGTTAGAAGAGACTCTTTGAAGAGAAAGACAATACAATGACCTAGGAGAAAACTGTAGATGAAAAAGCAGTATTTCAAAACAATTATATGAAACACTTAAAAACTAAAGTGTTCTATAAATTGTTTTTAAATACTCTTCATAAAAATGGTGACTTAAAACAAAAGCTATCTAAATGTGGCACTTGACACCAAACCAAATTAGGGAGAGTCAAATCAAATTCACAAATAAACTGCAAGGTTTCTATCCGAAATAAAAAGCAGACAAATCACACCACAAAGATTAAAATTAAGTGGCTATTTCTTGAAAATAAAGAGGCAGAATATGACAACAGAATTTACTGACATGCTTATACTTTTAAAAGCATAGTGTCAAAAGTATGGCTTCTCTTCCCACTGAATTCCATTATTTTATTCCACTAAAATGATGAACTTCTTCCTCCCCACTGTTCCTCCTGTGAGTTAAAACGGCAATATAACTTGATTTGAGAGTTAATGCAAAAAAATTGTAATAAAAAAAGTACTTAGGGGCGCCTAGGTGGCTCAGCTGGTTAAGCATCCGACTCTTGATTTCTGCTCAGGTCATCTTAGCGTTGTGAGATCAAGCCCTTGAGCCCCTACCCCCCCCCACCCCACCCCAGGCTCCATGCTCAGCAGGAAGTCTGCTTGAGATTTTCCTCCTCTCTCTCTGCCCCTCCCTCAACTCCCCCTCGAGCAAGGGCATGCACTGTCTCTCTCTCAAATAAATAAATCTTAAAAAAAAAAAAAGTGCTTTAAGAGGAACTACATGAAGCTGTCAGATTTTTAACTTCCAAGATCATCTGGCCATCACACCCTCCTGCTCTTTAAGTTCCTAAAGATAATAAAATGCTCACTCTCGACCTTCTTACACATGTCATTTATGGGTATTCCCCTAATGAAAAATTAAACCTTTCATAAACAAATGTGCACAGAGAATTCTTTTTGATATGTATGACTCACAATCTAATTTTTATTGGCAGTATCTTCAAGTGTTGCAGCTTGCACCATTCCTACAGGAGATACAGATCTATCCATTTTTCCCATCCGATCTTTGTAGATTTGTTATAGATTTAAAAGGACTCACTCAAATGGGCCATGAGGAAAATAATTATGAATACAATCCACAGCAAGATGAAATGTGGGTTGTGAATTAAGATAATAAAAAAGTCACTGTATTTACTCAAAGCCTCATAGTTGGAAATCCATTGTCAGTACTATATTTTCACCTAAAGCTGAAAAGTCTGGGTTTTTCTTAAATTTTATTCTGACTTATCCTATCTTATTAAGAATAAATGCTATTTACTTCCAAAACAAAAAAGAAAAACCATCAGAAAATATAATTTCCAAAAGGAGTATCTTCCAAAGCTTACTGCACAGAAAATTATATACACACATTCTCAAATAACTATGGTAGGCGTTCCTAAGATCATCTACCCCTTCAAAAAAAAAAAAAAAAAAAAAGCCCAGCAAATCTAACCACAATCAAGTACTAAAATTTTTAACACAGCTATCACCAGCTAAGCAATTTATCACAGCTTCTCAAAGTACTGGGAACACACAATGCCAAACCAGTATGTCAAAACAGTTATTATAATTTGAAAAAATTGTACTACAGGAACACAAGAGTAGTTTTTCCTCTGAAAAAAACTCAAGTAGATTTTTTGAGAGAGCAAAAAGGGAGACCATTTTTAGAAAAATAATGTTTCCCCCAAGTGTTTAGCATTTATCTGATACAGGCTCATTTTTGTAAAGAGAAACTTCACCTAACAAGACTCACACCAGGGATCTGATCTATCCCCAAAGGCACTTTCTTAAAATGAGAAAGAACAAAGGAGGAAATCTCCCAGCATGTGCTTTCCATACCAGTTTCTTTGGACAGCATCAAGAGTGACAATATAACCAGCACAAGCTTTTCAGCTTTATCCTGTGGCCCATGTATAACAGAACTGATTAGCTATCATTCAAAAGGATTCCAAACAAAATAAATATTAGAAGGCAAAGATCACAGCAACACTGTGACTACATCTTAAGAGTGAAACTATAGAAAACATGTATCTTAAAGTTGGGTACTTTGTATGTCAAGAGTTAATGACCTCAAAAATATTCAGATTGCTGAGGCTTTTTCATTTCGTCAATAGTTTGAAACTGGAAAAAAATGAGACCAACCATTCCAAGTCTGCTCTCTTCAATTAATTTGTAATTAGAAGTAAATTTTAAAAGAATGACATTCAAAGCCAGCGCCTTAATATACAAATTTTGGAATGTTAACGTTGCAAAATTATTGAGGAAATTGATCTTTCAGCGAAGCTTTCCACAGAAAAACTCCAGAAACAAACGTGGTGTTTGCCTGTTCTAGAAGCTGTCGTTTCAGTATAACGGAGAAATTTTTTTAAAATAATTTTTATTAAATAGAGACAGAGGACCCTCCCCAAAGATTTACAACTGTATATCCCAATCGCCGCTCTGACAGAGATGTCAGTTCTCTGGGTCAAGATATAACCAGCTGCTTGGTTCACACACAGGAAGCCACAGAGAGGGGAATATCGCGTTCAGAGCCTCGAAATAATACGCGTTAGTTAAAACTGCCTGCTACTAAACCAAAATTATTCAAGCGGAGCCCCATTTGTCACAATCCAATCATAAGGGTTCCACCCCCCTCCCCCAACAGCTTGTGTAGTGGTATATCTGCTTCGGTAAAGAAGCCATCATCAGGTAAAGAAGATTGGGGTGGGAGAAAAAGCGGGGAAAAGGGGGCACCCTTTCATCCAATTTCGCGAGGCGTGAGTAATTGGTACAGTTGAGAAGAACGCAGGAACATTCTATTTATTGGGGGTTGAAGTAGGATGAGGGGAGAATTTCGTTCAAATCAACATGGCCAGCAAGATGTCCCTACAAACAAAAGGCAACGGGGGGATATAAACACGAACCATTCACCTCCATCAGCTATAGCATCGCCATCATGGTGTGTGCAGAGACCCCCAAAGGCTCCTCTCACCCTCCACACCAGGCAAAGGAAAAGAAGGGAGAGGTAGCTGCTTCCCACCACCCACCACTGCTTCCAAATACACACTCTTCGAGGGGGGTTCTTCCCCCCCTCCCCGGTTGCCCAGAATCAGAGAGAAAGTAACGTCCCGCCCAGGCGGACTACCCCGCTACCCCTCAGCCGAACCCCAACGCCGGCCCGGGGCTCACTAAACTTTACCGGAGCTTGTCCCCACATCCCCGCCGCATAGCCCCAGGATCGCGCTGGCCACAAGCGGGGCACCCCGGGCGCCTCCTGACAGGCGGGCAGCCGGGTAGAGCGAGTCCGGGGCGGGGGCGGCAGGGAGCCACGGAGGGGCGGGGCGGCCGAAGCCAAGTTCCCGGGGGTCTGAGGAGAGCTCCTGACAGCAGCCCGGGACTGCAAAGGAGGAAGAGGAAGCGGCGGCGGGGAGCTTTCCCAATCCCCCCTACACGAACACTCTGCCCCAGCCCCCGTTCCCCATGGGGGGGCGGGGAGGCTGGTGGAAGGTGAAGAAGCCGAGCCCAAGGGGCAGCCGAGGCCCCTACCTCCCGACTCCCGATCTCTTCCCCCGCCACCCCCGCCAGAGGCGCCCACAACAATAACACGCCGGGGACGACCCGTCAGCGCCCCCGAGGCACCCGGGGCCCGCGGCCCGCCGCTGCCGGGCCCCCTCAGCGGGGGCCGGGCGCGCCACTCCTCCCTACAACTCCAGGCCCGGGTGGAGTCAGGCCCGAGCGGCCCCCCAGGGCCGGACCCATCCCCCTCGGCACCAGCGGCGCCGTCTCCGCGGCCGAATATTAGAAGTGAATTCGAGCTGCGCTTTACCTTTAGTTCCGCACTGTCCGCCATCTTGCGTCTGTCAGCGCAAGCGCACTGAACCTCGCCGGGGGCCGCCGCTAGACCCGCCCCTCTAGCCAGCCTGGCCCCGCCCTGGCCCGTCCCCTCTAGCCCCTCCACCTCCCCGTCCTGCCTCCGGCCTCCGCCCCTCTCCCGGCGCTCGGAGCCCCGCCCCGGGCACGTACAGCAGCGATACCGGCACGTACCATTTAAATAATGGCGCCAAATGGGGAGGTTTGACAGTTACTCCCCTCTCGACCTCCCCGCCCCCCATCCTCTCCCGGCTAGCGCCTCCAGGGAAAGGCCGGAGCGAGGGGGCTGCGGGCCTGAGCCCCGCCCCTCCGCGGCCTGCGGAACCCTTCTGCAAAGCTTCGATGCCTACAGTCACAGAAACTATAATGGCCCCCTCCCCCAATCAGCGAGTCCTTTTTGGCACCTGCTACCTGCGAGGATACGCGTGGGCTAAAAATAACAATCCGTTACATTTGAGGATCATTTGATGAAGCATTTCCAGATTTATTAGCTCGGATCTTCCTTATGACAGCGCTTTGAGGTGGGCAGAGAAAAGATTACAATTCACGTGGTATGTATATAGTCAGAAATGAGGGCTCAGAGAGGAAAAGTGACTTGTCCAAACACTTAACAGGGGTGACCTAAGACAAAATTCTGAAGACGTTCATTCATTAATTCTTTGTTTCAACAAGTAATTATTTAGTGATTATGTACCAGTCCTGTTTCTTTATGTATACATCGGGAAATTAAAAACAAAGTAACCGCCCTCCTGTACTTCTCTAACGGAGGAACAGGCAAGTGAACCAATAAAGATACAATTACAACTGGTGATGAGTACCAGAAAAGAGCAAGGGGGTTCAGTGAGAGAATAGCGGTTGGAAGATGTACTTAATACCCGGAGGGCTTTCTCCAATAAATTGACATTTAAGTAGATGTGATGAAAGAATTATTTCACGCCTTTTCCTCTCTACTGAAAGCCTCCTATACCTCCTCCCCAACCCCCACTTTTTGCTCTCCATTTTGCTTCATTTTTTTTTGAAAAATGAAAACAGACATGAACTCCCTGATCTACTCACCATCAAAACCATTCCTACAGACACAGTAACATTTGGGTTACTATGAATGAAGAAGGGCCCCTGTGCCTATGAAGGCAAGTCCCTCTACCAGTGACCTGGATTCCTTTCCCTCCCACATTCCTAGGAACTTTACTCCTACAATCACCTCGCCCTCCAGCATCATTACTTTTTCCCCTATTAGATTACTCCTATCAGCATATAAACATACTGAAATTCCTCCCACCCAAAACAAAACCTCCCTTGACTCCAAAATCTCCTCCAGAACTTCTCTGTTTCTCTCCACTGCATAAATTCTCAGGTATTTCAAGATCTCTCTACAGTGATGGTTCTCCCTTCCTCACATCACATTCCCTTCTCTGCCTACTCTGATCCAGCCTTGACTTCTCTCATCAGGATCACCTATCAGGATTATTATTAATGATCTCCATGTTTCCAAAACCAATTGTCAATTCTCCATTATCTAAAATGACCTCTCAGGAGAACTGCAAACAGTGGAGAAGACTCCTTTCTCTTGAAACACGTTTCCCCCTGAACTTCTATAACATCTTCCTGTCCTGATTTTCCTGTTCCTTCACTGAGCCTCCTTGTCAAAATCATCTGCTGATTTCTCCTCTTTGGCTCAACCTTTAAATGTTGTAGCCCTCCAGGGTTCAGTCCTCACCCTCTTAGCTTCTCTTTTTACACTCCCCAGGTGAATTTATCCAACTCTTTGAAATTCAAATTTCTGTCTAGCCCAGACCTCCCCACCAAAATCCAGGTTCACAAATCCAACTGGCTACTTTATATCTCTATTTCATGACTCCTAGTCAGCTCAAGATTTCCGTGTCAAATAGTGCCTTGATTTTACCCCTAGCCCTGTTCCTTTCCCACTATTCTCCATGGATGGCACCAATTGTTCAGCCAGTTGTTCAAACCAAAAATCCGGAAATCATCCTTGGTCCCTCTCTTTCATTCACCTCTCACATCCAATCCTTCACCAGTCCAGCTGACTCTGCCTCTGAAACATATCCCAAGCCTGTCCATTTCACTGGCCATCCACTACCATCACCCTATTCCAAGATGCCATAATTTCACAAATGGACTGCTAGGAAGGCTAGTCAACTGACAGAACCACATTATGACTTTCGTTGCCCTACACACTTTTGCCTTCTAGGGACTATTCTATAATAAAAAATACATATATATGACTTCATCCCTGGTTCCTGGCACAGAGTTCCTAAAACCTTTAAAATTTCTGGAGGATAGGATTGTCTTGCATTATTCATGATGAGCCAGCCCCTTTCCCCCACACCTGAGCTTGTACTAATGAGGTGAGAGAGTATGGCTCCTCGGGAGCTTCAGGGTGGGAGCTGGTCACTGGTAAGACTAAACATGAAGACTAAATACATGATTAGATGGGGGTTAGTAAATACATGGAAGTACTGGAAGGCAGGTGCCCAGAGAGGGCAAGGACACTCTGCATCCCCACCCTTCATGCATTACCCTATGCATCTCTTCCATTTGGCTGTTTCTGAGTTATTTCCTTTATAATAAACTGGTAAATCTAAGTAAAGTGTTTTCCTGAGTTTTGCGAGCCCACTCTAATGAATTATCAAAACTGAGCAGGGATTATAGGAATCCTCAAATTTGGTAAGTCAGCAGTACAAGTGGCCTATGGGACTGGCACCTGGTAGCTGAAGTAGGGGCAGTCTTGTGGGGTCTGAGCTTCTGCCTGGAGTTGGTGTCAAAACTGAATTGTTGGATACTTAGTTGGTGTTGGAGAATTGGTATGGAAAGATATCACATATTTGGTGTCAGAAAGAACCTCAGAGACCCCTTCTTCCATAAATATATAAATATATTAAGTATATATATACTAAAAATTACATTTAAAAAAAAACTACATTTTACATTTGTATTGGTATAAAGACTAATGCAATCCAAGCAGAGTATACTTACCTTTTCTTCTGATTTTAAAGATTTAAAACATTTTTGTGGGCCCTAAAATTATTGGCCCACCCAAAACATAAAAATTAACTCAGAATTAATCATAGACCTAAATATGAGTTAAAACTATAAAACTCTTAGGAGTAAATCTCTATAACCTTGAATGAGACATAGCTTTCTTAGACATGGATCACACATGCAGTTGTGGTAGGAATGGTATAGCCACTTTGAAAAATAGGTTTGGCAGTACTTTGAAAACTGAAAATGTACTTACCATACAACTCAACAATTCTTGGACATTTATCCCAGAAAAAGGAAGACTTCTTTCCATGCAGGAAATTACACAAGAATGTTCATAGCAGTTTTATTCATAAGAGCCCCAAACTAGAAACTATCCAAATCTCCTTTAATGGGTAAATGGCTAAACAAACTGTGATACAGGTATACCATGGAATACTACTCAGCAATCTAAAAACAAAAACGAAACAAAACAAAACAAAAAAAACTGTTGACGCACACAACTTGGATAAACCCCAGGAAAATTATACTGAGAAAAAAACTAATCCCAAAAGGACCCTTATTGCCTGATTCTACTTATATAACATTAATGAAATAACACAATTACAGAGATGGAGAATAGACTAGTGGTTGCCAGGCAGTTAGGGATGAGGGGAAAGGGTGGTTCTTACCAATGTCAATTTCATGGTTTTGGTATTATGCTGTAGTTCCATAAGTTGTTAACTTCGGGGGAGATGGAGGAAAGGATGAGTGTGGCTTTGCTGTAAATTTCTTTGCAACCTCCTGTGAATCTGTAATTACTTCAATATAAAAGTATACATTTTTTTTTATATATATGAATATGTATATCTGAAAAGTATACATGTATATAAATACTGAAGATACAATGTATGAAAATTGTGGGGAGAGAGACATCATCAAAATGGCAGAACAGGCAACTCAAACTCCCATACCTCCACGGAAACTTTAAAAAATAACCAGCAACTGTCAGACCAACTTTGTCAGAACTCTGAAAAATAGTCAAAGGTTTATAGCAACCAAGCAAATGCTTAATCCAAAAAAAAAAAAAAAGACAACTTAAGAATAAAAAAAAAAAGTTATGTTACTTTCACTTACCCCTGCCCTACCCCGCCCCTGACTGGGCAGCAGTCTTGAAGATAGCGGGCTACCTTCCCAGGATGGAGCCCTGGTACCTGGAAATCATTGTGTTCCTCTGTTCTAACCTTCCTGGGAGCTAGCTGAAGGACTAATGTAAGGCCTATCTCTGTTTTGCTTAACCTGGAACCCACAGTGGAAAAGCAGCAGACATTGTTTGAAAACACTGTAAGATGAATAAACAACCTGCAACTGCCTGGGGCCAAAGATTACAATTGGTACCTAAATAGACCACCTAAAGCTTGGGAGTAAAAGCTGGGGAGAGAAATTTACCAGGAAATTAGGTCATTCAAAGTGAAAAATGCTCATGAACACTGGGGCATTTAGAAGGCCACACACATGTGCCTGAGACAAGATACATCTCAGGAAAGACCTAAGAAAGCCCTAAGATTCCACCATTGACTGATAAATATGCTCAGTGCAACCAGAAAGTGAAGGCTCGGGAAGAATTTCAAATGGCCAAGTTAAGTGTTAAAAGAAATACCCCCACACAGAGCCAAACCACAAAGATTGGGAAAGGTGTTTTGTTTGTTTGTTTTTTTAAGTTCCCAGTGTTCAAGGAAATCTCAGTAAAGACACTGGCTGAACCTAAGCTGAGGCTTCAACAATCAAGAACAGCAAACCCTGGAGAAGGGAGAGCATTTGATTCCCAGAGATAATACATTATAATATTCAAATGCTCAGTTTTTTGATGACATCTAAAGCCTGTCATCAAAGACTTCATTATTTTTTTAATTTTTTATTGTTATGTCATCAAAGACTTTAAAGCCAGTGTTTTAAATATTCTCAAAGAGCAAAAGGAAATGAGGTAAGTAATGTATGAACAAAATGAAAATATGAATAAAGAGATAGAAATTGTTAAAAGGAAAGAAGTAGAAATTCTGGAGCTGAAAAGTAGAATAACTAAAATGAA